CTTTTTTTAAAAAGAAGGATGGCTTCTCTTTTAGAAAAACCTAAACCTTTTAGCGAAAAATCTTCTTCTTCTTCGTTTTGCTGAATGGCGGTTCCTTCTTTTTAAGATAGCGAAAAATATTTTGACAAATCATTTTTGACAAATTCAAATGTCTTGTCAGATGAATAATAGACAAATATGTCATCAACATAAACTCCGACGATAACGAGTTCTTTATCAAAAAATTTTGTATAGGTACACGCACGGCTCAGAGGGCGTTCCAATAAAACCTATTTTTGATAGAGTTTCATCTAACTTTTTATTCCAGGCACGTGGAGCCTGCTTAAGGCCATAGAGATATTTACGTACACCTTGTTTTCTTGACCTTTTTCTGCAAAGCCAAGAGGTTGCTCCATGTAGACTTCTTGTTGTAAATCGCCGTTCAGGAATGCAGTATCCACGTCTATGTGCCTCATCTTCAAGCCCAATTCTGCAGATAATGCAAATAGCGTGCGTATTGAAGAATGACGTATTACAGGCGCAAAAGTCCCATTATAGTCAACGCCTTTTGTCTGACTATATCCTTTAATAACGAGGCTAGCCTTGTATTTAATGATGTTGCCAAAAACATCCTTCTTCACTTTGTATACCCACTTGCAGGGAATAACCTTCTTGTTGGGTCTATCCACTAGCTCCCAGGTGCGAAATTTCTTTAGTGAATTGCGCTCATCATTCATTGCTAGCTGCCACTTTGCAGCATCATCCGAACGAATAGCTTCATAATAGCTGGTTGGTTGATCCACATCGTTAATTGACGCTTGATATGACAGGAAATCAGAAGGCTTTCCATTTCTTGACGGATATCTCGGCTCAAACGGAACTTCTGGATGTTCTCTTGCTGTATCCGTCTCTGTAACCTCTGGAACATTGTCAGGCTCCGAGTACAAATTTACAGGAATAGACGACTCAACAGCTGAGCTGGTACTGTCAAGACAGTCGAAGAATTCTGATCCTCCTTCAGATCTTTCTTCATGCGTATCAAACAATAAAATAGGATTACAAGATTCAATCTGCGAACGACTTTCTTTTCGCTTCAGGGGTGTAAAACAATTTTCAAAAAATGTAGCGTCTCTAGACTAACATTCTTCGTGGATTTTCAGGATCACGAAACAAGTAAGTATTTGGATCCTCTGAATATCCCATAAATATTGCTTCTTCAGCTTTCAAATCTAGCTTCTTTCGCCGACAATCGGGTATATGAACAAGAGCTCTGCATCCGAACACTCTTAAGTGGCTCAAGTCACTTTTACGACCACACCATCTATCGTAAGGTATTTGTCCATCTAAGGCTCTATGTGGTGACCGGATCTTCAAGTACACTGCTGCCTTGCATGCATCTTCCCCGTATGCTTTTGGTAAGGAGCTCTCAGCCATCATGGAACTCGCCTTCTCAACTATTGAGCGGAAAGTGCGCTCCGCAGTCCCGTTTTGTTGTGGACTGTACCTCATAGTAGTTTGGTGTTCGATCCCTTTAGACGCAAGATAATCGTCAAACTCCTTGTTGACAAACTCGGTACCACCATCTGTTCTAATTGTTTTTATTTTAGAACCTAACTGACTAACGCTTGAAATAAACAGAACTTGTTCTTTACCTCTGTCTTAGAATTAATGAAATAAGCAAAAATTTTACGTGTATCATAGTCATCTACAAAAATTAAAATATATATATTTCCTTGAATAGATGACACGGACATAGGTCCACAAAGATCACTAAGGATCAGGTTCTAAAGGTGAAGATGCCTTTTTGTATGCTATCTTCTTAAAACGTTTCCTAGCTTGTTTACCTTGTATACAAGCGATGCAACTACTTTTGTCTACCTCAATAAAATCAATACCAACTTGATGATCCTTCAACGTTCTCATTCCGATACGACATAAGTGCCCTAATCGTTTATGTAACAGATTGTAGTTACTCGAACCGTCAGAGTGCTCATGTTGTGTTACATTTGCCCGGGGAATATTTACAGTACACTCTAGAGTGTACAAACCACCACAGGACGTAGCATGTAGAACTGAATCACCTGTAACAGTAAAATTTGCATCATTTTTATAAAAAGTACAACCATTATTATCAAAAATATATAAATCCTTTCTGAACAGCTTGTTGAACTGATAATAAATTTGCCTTTAAATCTGGTACAAGAGCAACATCATTTATCATATTCACTGTTTTATTAGGCGTATTTATTGATACATTACCGACTCCATGACACTTGATTTGATCACCATTCGCAACAGTAACGCTTCCACTATCTGAACCTGTGAAAATCTGGAACCAATCACGTCTAGAAGTCATGTGTTTGGTTGCGCCCGAATCTACGTACCATAAATCTACACCAGCAGCAGAAGTATTCAGAGCAACAAAGGATGTCATCTTCTTTTCTTGATCCACTTCTATCGCTGCAACTTTGGCTTTGTTTCTTTGAGGACAGTCGGGTCTTTTGTGTCCTGGTACTTTGCAATCGTAACAAACAAAATTTTTCTTTTTCTTCTGTTTGGTATTGTACTTGGCTTGAAAAACCGTATTGACAGGCATAGTTTCATTTTTAGACATCTCGTTTAATAGTCTCGCCTTTACCAAATCAGTCGTAACAGGTTTGTCACAATTTTCGATTGCCATAACGAGAGGTTCATATTTTGAAGTTAAACCTCCTAACAATATAGCTGCAATTGACTTATCGTCTATCTCCTTGTCAATATCTGCCAGGTCTTGTGCAGTTGTAAGAACTGCATTAATATACACCTCGATATTTTCAAAGTCTGAGAGACTTAATCTATATAGCTTACGTTCTAAAGCTAGTCTGCGACCCATTCCCTTATCCTCGTAGGCCTTCTGCAAAGACTTCCATGCTTCGGTTGTAGTTTTTGCTCGCTTTACGTGAGTAATAGCTGCACCGTCTACTGTCAAGCATATCTTGGCAAGAGCCTTATTATCAAGTCTTACCTTCAATGATGTTGCAGTGTTGTCACCTTCAGGATAACCAACTATTGTACACCACAGATCCTCGTGGATAAGAAAATTTCTCATCTTAAATTTCCACGTCGGATAACCATCCTTGTTTCTCAGATTGCTGCTTGTAAACATTGCAATCTCCGGCTTCACGTAACATTTTTATACAGAACGTGTCGCCACTTTGTTATTTATTGGATTCAGACTAGACTGTAATACCT